AGGGTGGTTATGTAACACGGAGGGGGGCTGAGGTGAGGCGGTTCAGACTGCAGTCCCCCCTACACTTTATCTGCAGTGGGATAGAGGGAAAGAAGAGAAAAGGAAGAATGGAAGTTGAGTGAAAGGGAATGAGGAGATTTGTAAAAATAAAGTAGTAATAAAAAAAAGGAAAAAGACGTGGTAAAAAAAAACAAGGAGCAGATGGGGAGAAAAGCAATGCTAATATTAACCCATCCTGTTCAGAACAGACGCTCTYCGATTAGAAAATCTTCCCGTATATCCACCTAGTGATGGTTGGCTTTCCATTAACGGCTCCCGTGAATCYCCAGTCATAACAGGAAGTCTGTTCTCACTTGTCAGTTTCTCCTCAGCAGCATGTGATGAGGGTGTTTTCACCTGCAGTCAGCAGTCACAGCGAGAGATGATCTGGTGTGTCAGAGGAGAAGGTCTATGTTTAGGATGCTGGCTCTTCGGCCACACGGGGACTCTGTATTGTCGTGGATAAATTACACTGGATTTAAGGCCTGCAGAGTGGCATCTGTGATTTATGGGTATTTTCATTGCTCCTGCTGCCACGTGTTCCGTTTCGAACGTGTCCAGTCACTGTTTTAACAGTAGTAACAAACCAATGTGATATAATAGAGTGGAAACTCAGGTTTAAATTAACGTTTTATGAGGAATTATTTCTGCTCTCTGTATCATGCAAGGGCAATGTTTAAGTGAGGGACAAAAGCTGCCTTTAGCCTTTAAATGAAAACAAATTAATACTCCAACACTAGAGAATAAGCTTTTCTGTGAAAATGCTGTGACCGCTTCTATTTGTTAAAGAAGCTAAAACTGAGGTATTAAACTTAAAAACCTCAGAGCAAAGGCTAAAATGTGTAAAACGGATCTAAAATTAACAAATCACTAAMTAAAATTRGCAGAAAAGTAGCTAAAAGTAGCAAATTTATGCAAATTAGCTAAATGCTCATTTTAGCTAAACTGTAGCTAAAAGTATAACATATGCTAAAGCTAAAACCAGATGCTTATATGATCAAAACCATCAGCTAAAAGTAGCTAAACAGATGATAAATTAACAAAAAGCTGCCAAGCTGCAGCTAATATCTATTAGTAGGTAAATGGTAGCTTAACGCTACAGGTGGCAGAACAATAGGTGAAGCAGATTTGAACAAGAATGATGTATTTGAAGGATTGAAGAAAGTATACTGAAGTATACCGAAACTTCTTTTTTTTAATAAAAAAGGGCTTAAAAAAAAAAAAATTTTTTTTTTTTTAATAAAAAAGGGCTTTGAATTTACAAGCTTTCTCTGTGTCAAAGACTACTCAGAGGATTGATGCAACAACAAAACGTTTCCAGAGACAATGTTTGGTTAATGTTTGATCCAATATTAAGKATAACGAAGGGGGATTGTTTCCTGYTGCACTTAAAAGAATGACTATCAAAATGAATGACTCACAGTTGTCATATAAATAAAGATTTTGATGGAAACCATGAACCAACTTTTTCCTTTGATAAGAGGAACAAAAATTCTGTTTCCAAAACCGTATTTTAACAAGTACAAATGTCTCATCTGGATGAAATTGATATGATAATCACTGCTGAGAAACTGAAAAAGATATCTTAAGCTTCCAGAGAAGGATCCTCTGTTTGTAGTGTCACCTTGAGGATGGTTTCTCCACAGCAAACATGTCACTGTGTCATAATATATAAATATAAAATAGATAATAGTTCAAATAAACCAAACGTGAGAGGTTCTGCTTTGTGTTCTGGAAACGTTGGGTCTTAAAATCAAGCAAATACAAACAAGTAAAGTAAAATAAAAATTGTATACCTGCAGATTTATATACTTTATTAAAGCTACAATGGATGAACAGCATGGTTTTTGTCTAACAAACATGATGTAAAGTTATATATTTTTAAATGCCGTGCTCAGTAACTGGGTCCAACACGACAGGAATTATGTCTCATTAACTGAATGTTTAACTAAAACACAGAATACAGCAAGGTTCATTTCACAAGGACATATCGAGTCTAGATATTCATCAATGTTTACCTGAGTTGAAGGTATTTTCTTTTCACTGCTGCTTCTTCGGCAGTCCCAGTCCTCACAGAAATGTGTGCTCAAAATCCTGTGATACAGGTGAGTTGCAGAGTTTAGTCTTTCTGAGGAAGATGTCTGAAAATCTACAAAATCCACATTTAGGTTGTACATCTCCTCCCACTCTTTTGGAAGAAACCTATTGACTAAAGCAAATGGCATTTCCAAGGTTGTTTATCCATGTCATTCTATGTATATATCACCTCAAAATATATATATAAAAAAGCTAATTCTATTATTTTTCAGTTTTTATGGAAAAACAAGACTCATTATATCAAAAGGTCTGTTAGTTAAGAAATATGAAAAAGGTGGTATAAATGCACTGGATTTTGAAGCCATGATTGGGACACATAAGATCAAATGGTTAAAAACCTTTATTTTACAACAAGATTCAATGTGGTTTCATATCCCTGCTTCTATTTTTAAGAAGATTGAAGAATTGTTTTTTTGTGAAGTGTGATTTTGAGGCGGGTAAGGTTCCAGTTAAATTGTCTAACTTTCACAAACAAATTCTTCAGTTTTGGARGATGGTATTTCAACATAATTTCTCACCTCACGGATCAACCCTGTGGAATGATAGGACAGTTACAGTTGGTAGGAAGACACTATTCTTAAAAGATTGGTATAATAAGGGTATTATATTTGTAAGAGATCTTTTAGATGATAATGGTGATCTTCTGAGTTTCCCATCCTTTGTTGAAAAAATACAACTTTAATTGTTACAAAGATTTTAAGAAGGTGTGTAAAGCAATCCCCTTGGCTTTGATCCAGCTAATCAAAAATGTTGTTTTGTATGCAAAGGTGCCAGCTTTGATGCCCACACTAAAGGTGAATGATTGTAACTTGATGGATTACTTTGCTCTGGTATGGCGGGTGCMGGTGGGGCCCATGAGTTTGTCGCTGCTGGCCCCGGGGGCTGTGTGTGTGGTCGCTGGGGGGA